TAGAGGAAGGGTCCCCATCATAACAAAGACATTCATTTCCCTCACTATACCGTTTCCTTTGAATGATTCTAATTGCTACTTTTAAAATATCACTCGGTATCTATCAAAAAAAAAAAAAAATTTCCAACTAAAAAACAATTTTCTCTTTTGAGAATGATTTGAAAGTGTGTGGAACTAATTTTATAGTTCTTAATTACAAATTGAAGATGATGATTTTTATTTTTCAGTTGTCAAGTCTCTATCAAAAATTGAATGTTTTATTTTTTTATTTTAATATGATTTTAATTAAATTTAACCGTAAAAGATGTACACTACCAATAGAGGGTCGTACCATGAGAGTGAAAGGATCCACAAAACAATTGAATCTTGCAAAACATTTACAGAAGTTGACCAATAAGAGCCGTTTGATTGATTTCCTTATTTTATTTTATTTTATTTTATTTTATTTCCGTTCATGTGCTGCCAGATAGACTTGTTTTGTTAAAGGTTCAGAGAACCTACAGCCAAAAGATCTACCATCAACTGCATTATAGAATTAACAAAAAAAAAAAAAAAGAATCCATCAAAGACAAAAATCCTCTAAGAGTAATGAGATATGTACATTTCTAGATTGATTGGTTAGTATTTTAATTTAATAAATTAATTATTGGACTTGGTCTTCTACCATCTTTTAGGTGTAAGTATTTATTGTTATCCTTGGCCATTCTTTAGATTTTATTTGCTCATGAGTTAACCATTCTTAAGATTGTCTTAGACATAATATGAGTTGGATTTGGATGTATAGACTATTATATACTTTATTTTGTAACATTCATTTCATTTCTGGTTAATTACCTTATTGTTAGGTTAACAAAATCCAAATTATTGGAATCAACATTATTCTTGCTATGTTACACATTATCAACACAACCAAATATTATAACTTATTGGTTATCAAAATTATAATTGTAACCTCATTAATTGCAACATAAAAAACTAAAATGATGGATTATCTAGGGCCATAGATATGAATAAGATACAATACTCCTTGCCTTGGGGATGGTGTTATTTTTAAGTCTCACATTTCAAATTTTTATTCTCGAATGGCTTCCAATTTGGCCCTGTTCATTTCACCGATTCGAGTTTAGAATTTGAGTTTTGCTACAGTAAAAAGCTCTCACATAAAGTCACATCTAATTTTTTTGCTACAGTAAAAAACTCTCACATAAAGTCACATCTCAACTCGAATCAGCGAACTGAACGGGCCTATTTGCACATGTTTATTTATTATTCTTTTTTTTTTTTTAAGTGTGCTCAAGTTTGGAAAAATTCTAGAACACCATATTTAGGGAGAAAGTAGAGGAGGTTTTGCAACATGTTACATGGCACATAAAAATTAGTGTGAAAGACTAACGATACAAACTTTTTGTAACAAAAGGCCCTTTTAGTTAGATTGTCAATTAATTTCAAAAAGTATTTATCTTTAGTTTGCTTAATTTTTCTATTCTTTTTTAATTTTTCTATTCTTTAACCTCTTTTCCATGTAAAAAGAGAACATTTTTTCTATTTGATAAAGAATTAGAGACATGTTTTGTTACATTTTATCTTTATTAAAGCAAAGCGCTCTAAAGCTTATGACTCTTTTGGTTTTCTTTTCCCACCATGTTCTTAACTGGGTCCTTGTTTGGTTTATGGTTTTTGTAGAGGGTTAAAATCAAAATTCCATCTTTAGACTCCCAAATTTGGAAAAATAAACAATTTTGTGTAATAACATCCAAACAATAAGAATTTACTCATTTAGAAAATTATCAAATTGCTAATTTCCAATTAAGGGTCGATATCAAAGAAGATTTACTGTCTACAGCTAATGAAGTGCATTGACTTTGTATATATACACACACATATAGATATAGTGTGGTTTTAATAGTTACTTTAGTATTTATTTATCAATGAGTATTATTATTTTAATTATAAAATATTAATCTAACAATTATAATAAATTATATAGTTAATTAAAAATTTTATAATAATTAATAAAATTAAATTTTTATCACATTATATCATTAAATTTTTATATTTAATAATAACCACGAATAATAATATAATTATTCAAAACTCGTTCATGTTCATATGCATATAGATTATATGAAAACTACGTTCTACGTTGAGAAGATCAATAACCATCTTCCTCTATACGACCTGAAGTTAGGTGTCGTTGACAAGGGCTTAGTGGAGGCTGGCTGGGTCCCACGTCGAAAGTTACTCCTAAAGCGCGTCCTGATGACCTCACGGTTGGTTACCCAATAACTGGACGCCACGTCATTACATGCCAGTTTGCTGTTTGTTTGATACCATATTGTGTGGGCCCGCCAATAGCTGTCGTCCAATCATCTCGTCTCGTTTTGGTGAGCCCCACCACTGAATCGGCTAGGATTTCTGGCTCGAGCCAGAGGAACACCGTTTACCTGGTCATTGATTCTATGTCGCGGTGGTTGCAAAGCCGGGCTATGGGTAATAATCTAGTGCGGCTGCGAAAGATTTATAGTAAACAGAAAATTAATTAGTAAATGCAAAATTTTTAGAACAATTATACCTAAATTTATTGTAGTTTAACAAATTGATCCTTAAATTTTTAATTCTGACAATCAACTTTCAGATTTGTAAAATTTTTGCAATGTAAGCCATTTTAGTAAATTTACTTAAATTTTTTTATTATATTTAAGATATTAAAAGTCGATGAATTAAAAGATTTATGTCACATTTGAAGTAAAATGTTACAATTTTTCGTCGAACGTGTTTTTTTACACTAATTTAACACAATTATCATTAAATATGGCGTTCTACAATACTTTTACAAGTTAAAAGGACAGTTTGCCAAAATTAAAAGTTTAGAGAGCAAATTGTTAAAACTATACAAATTCAGGAGAAAATGTATAAAATATTAATAGAAATAAATTTTTTTAATCCTTGTATTGCACTTAATATGCAAATTGTTTAGTTTCAAAGTTCTTCAAGGACATAATATTGTTCACTTTCGAGAAACCCTAGCTATTCTACAGAGAGAAAGTTAGAGAGAGGTACTTTGCAACAAACTTAGAGGAGGAGTTTTTTGGGGTCGGTGGTCTAGCTATTCGTCGGGCTGTCGGCCTCCAAAGTTCGTCAGAGAGATCATAGAGATCACCGACATTAGGTTCGTGCTAACGAAAGTGTGGATCGTCACTGAAATGGAGTTGTTCAAGGGGAAGCAATTTCTAATATTCTACCTTAGATCTAGGACGCATTTGCCCCGAGATTCCGTTGAAATTTTGAGAACTAGATCGTAGAAGGGAGGCAAGGAAGGTGGTCCAAAGCGTGTGACAGTCGCAACTAGTTGGCGGCGGCGCGTGGATCCCATTTGCTGCCGTGTCTCCGATGCTTTTGTTGACGTTTCAGGAGCTTTTCTCCGACGCCACTTTTATTGTGTTTCACACACCTTCAGCGTTGAGGGACTCGATTTTGTTAGTTTGATTTCTTGGAATCTTTGTAGAGTTTTATCTATTTTTCTGTTTTATGTTTTTATTTGTGTTGTAATAATGGTGATGGTGTCCCCATCTACTAACGTTAGGTCTTGGCTAGAGAGTGGTCTCCCTAACCGCTCTAAGTCCAAGTTATATAGTCCATTTTGGGATTGAGATGTGGTTTATCTAGAGTCGTTTCAAAGTGGTCGAACACTGTTATAATGCCACTAGTTTGAGGAGTTCTCTTTATTATTAGGTAAGTAGTGCGTTTGTATTGTCTAATCGTGTGAGTATCACCCTTTAGTGGTGCTATTGCCTTTTGGAGTAGAATTCATTTTGGAATGTTCAGTTGAAATTCCTCTTTTAAAGTCTTCTTTTTTTATATTTTTTACATTTTTTTAACAAATGTAGATCTAAGAGAGAAGAGTAAGAACACGTATCCTCAATCTAATATTTTTAGTCTTTAGTTCAACTTACAAATTCATTTTATATTTTCAATACGCTTTTGAAATTTCGTTTTAAATGCGTCGAATTTTGTTTATTTTAAAAAATAACAAAGGATACAAAGGATTAATTTAAAATTTGATAGCTTGCAAAACTCTGAGTAGAAAGTTAAATTATGGCCATATGTTTAGAGTGTACATATAGCTTAAAATTCTCTCTTTTCACATAGTCTCTTTGCAACTTTCCACCTAGCTTGACCTATTAGCTAATACAAGAAATGAAAATGTTTAAGCAATTACTATCCAATACAAAATCTTATTATCAATTAAATAAGTTTTATCCTTAAAAAAGATTAAATACCTAAATACATATATATATATGTATTTTTTCAAACTCATTTCTCCTTTTTATCATAATAAATGACCCTAAGAATAGTCTGATATAAAAGTTTAACTTATTTCATCAAAGCATTGTGTTTGAGTTGTGATTACTCCTCTATCAAAAAGGGGGTAAAAAAAAAAGAAAAAAGAAAGCTATACGTCTTTACATTAATACTTTATGAATCTTTAAATTAGTACTTGATTTAGGTCATTGTTCAAAAAATGAAAATAATTTTATGTTTGCACGTTAAAAATAGGTGATACCACGTCAGAAAACGACAACCATCGTTTTATTTTTATGGCGTCAATTACAAATAAAAAAATTTTGGATCTGATTAAAAGGGGGTTTACGAAACCCCAAATAGAACCACTACTTCAGTACAATTCCACAATGTCGTTTTCCGACAAAGAGCGTTCAGCGTCGTGCGAAGACCGGCGCTTAATCGGCTCCGCTCAAGCCGACTCAAAAATACGGCTCGGCTTGGCTTAATCGGCAAAAAATTACGTGGGAACGCGTTCTGTTGAGAATGAAAACTACCGGCTTGATTAATTAATTAATTAATTAAACACTAATTAAAAAACACGAGTCCTCACAAAAAAAAAAATGAAAACTTTTTTAATTTTTTTAGAAATAATTAATTTTTTTTCTAATAATATAAATACAAATCCAGGAAAAGCCAGCCTGAAAAGTTCAGAGCTCACAACTTCTTCTTCTTCTTCTCTCTCTCTCTCTCTCTATATCTGAGCTGAGCAAATCTCGCACATTTCCCGGGAAAAACCTGAAGCTTCAGCAGCAGAGAGATCGCGGGGAGTTGCCGAGCTTACCGAAGTGAATCGCCGGCGATGTGTAACTCACGCACTCTAGTTGTACCAGCTCTTCTTCTTCTTCTTTTGGTTCTGGTCTCCGCGCAGGGATCTGGTTCCAAGACTCCATGGCAGACGCTTAGCGGTACGGTTTTTTCTGATGTATTTCTCTGTTTCTTTAGCTTTCTGCAGTTCTTTGATTTTTGGCTTTTGCTCGTGGAGTTTTAGTTGAAGTATACGTTTTTGTTTTGGAGAGAGAGTGCGTTTGGTTGCCGAGAAAATGGAGGAAAGATGAAATGGAAGTTTGAGGCGGTTGATGTAATTGACTAATTGGTTTGATTACGGTTGATTAGGCTCAGTGGATTGGGGTATAAAGGGAAGTAAATATTGCATTTTTAATACCTTGCATTTTATCCGTTGTAAAATGGAGAGCTTTCTTGGGAAATTCTGTTTTGTTTGCTCAGAGAGCTGAAAAAGATGAAGAATATGAAAGTGACATTTGAGCTTTGTGTTTCTTTTGCTTGAGCAGCTGCAAAAGTCGTGGGAATTTTTTTTCTTTTTTTTTTTTTTGGGTCTGAACATGTTCCAGCTCATTTCCTCTTTTCTTTTTTTTTTCCCCTGAAATTTTATCGGTGACCTGAATATATGGCTGTCTTTTTTTTTTTTTTTTTTTCCTTTTCTCGATTTATTTAGATGAACTTTCTTTTAACGGAGACTTCATTTTTACTAAATAGTTTTGTCAATTTTCTCAGAATGTTGACATTAAAATCGTATTGATAGGCGAAATTGTAAGGAGTATTTATTTGAGGGCTCCATAAATAGACTTGTTTCATTAAGAAAAACTCTATTTATTTTGGGAAACATTCAAATTACTTGTATGAATCTAAATGAATTGCGGTGCATATGGCAGTCAGTTTTTGGATTACAAACGGTCTGGTTTTAACAGTTGTAATCGTTTTTTGACCTGAAAATGAAACTGTTTTCTAGTAATTTATGTTTCTGTTTGCATATCAGTATCATATTTTGCAGTTTTTCTTTGACCATTTGTTTCCTAAACTCGCCTATTTCATTTTTTTTTTCTTTTTTCAGGAGGTGCGCCTCTGGCAATAGCACGCGGTGGATTTTCTGGGCTATTTCCTGATTCAAGTTATGCTGCGTATAGTTTTGCAATTATGACTAGCCTTCCCGAAGTGGTTTTATGGTGTGATGTGCAACTAACAAAAGACAGCAAAGGAATTTGCCTCCCAGATATCAAGCTGGACAATAGTACTGATATTGCAGATGTCTTCAACAATAGGGATAAGGAGTATGTTATTAATGGGGTTGCCACTAAAGGATGGTTTTCGCTGGATTTCACTTCCAGCGAATTATCAAATGTGATCGGTAAGCACAGACTACTTGAGTTCTTTCGTTGTTTCTCTTTCCCGGAATATCTTCTGAACTAAATGATGCTCCTGTGGCAAAGTTTTGTTTTTCTTTTGCACTGTGGAATGAGTCTGGGATATTTTCCAAAGCTAGACGAGACCTTATGAAAAGGGATTTTTTTTTTTTAAGTGATGGGACTGTGTTTTTTAAACTTACCTAAAATGTTACTATTTTTTACACTTGGTCAAAACTGTCATATATGAATATGAAGTGAGATTATTTATCCATAGGTTGCAATATAGCTATTGTTGTTGGTAGTGGTCATCTTATTGTCATCATATTTGTTTTAATTTTGAATACAGAAGTTACTGAAAAGTTTGTTTTTTCTTCTGATGAACTTCTTTTCTTCAAAACGGTGCACTTTTGGAATAATGATAATTATTATTTTACAAATAAGTGAGCGTCGAAATCTTTCGTCGAGTCCTTTATTTTTTCCCCACCATTTGGATAATAGAAATTGCATCAAATGTCTAGCTTATATTAACTCTTCTTACTGAAGTTTTGTTTTGGTACGCTCACAGTTAGTCAAGGAATTTATTCTCGCTCTAATAAGTTCGATGGCAATTTGTTCCCAATTCTCACTGCTGAAGATGTGTCTAAGCAACTCAAACCGGCAGGCTTATGGCTGAATGTTCAGGTATATGACGGACAATGCATTTTGTCAATGCCATATCATGTTTTTTTTCTTGTTTTTTTTTTTTGTTTGAACCTTACGTACTTGGGTTTCTAGATTCCTGGTCTGCAATATCTTTTTGAACAAATTAATCTGTTATACTTTCCAGCATGATGCATTCTTTACACAACACAAGTTGAATATGAGAAGCTATGTGCTTAATATATCAAAACACATTATTGTCAACTATATCTCATCGCCAGAGGTGGCTTTCCTGAACGGAATTAAATCAAGATTCAATCAAAAGACGACAAAGCTGGTCTTTCGGTTTTTGGGAAAAGATGAGACTGATCCCTCAACAAACCAGACATATGGTTCGCTCTTGAAGAATCTTACATATATCAAGACTTTTGCCTCTGGAATTCTCGTCCCTAAAATTTACATATGGCCCGTGGATCCAAAAAGTTATTTGCAACCTCATACTTCTCTTGTCTCGGATGCTCACAAAGAAGGGTTAGAAGTTTTTGCATCAGATTTTGTGAATGATTTTCCTCTGAGCTTCAACTATAGTTATGATCCAGTAGCCGAGTACTTGAATTTCATTGACAATGGTAACTTCAGCGTTGATGGTGTGCTGTCTGATTTCCCAATTACTCCATCAGCGGCCATAGGTGATTAGTCTTACTTCCTAGTGTAAGAATAATGGTTTACCTATTTTCAACATATGTTTCATGTCCCTTTTAATTTAAGTTTTTTTTTTTTGAAATGCTTAGTTTGACCAGCAATCTGTTACCTGTTGCTTGATTCTTTACTTATTTCATACTGGAAGAATCTCAGGAAATGATTTAGCAAAATCTTTGTTTCCTACTATTATCTCCTTCGGGCTTCTGACTTCTCTGTAACACTGCAGATTGTTTTGCTCACTTAGGAAAAAATGCTACAGAAAAAGGTATGTCACCATCTTTCTCGCTTACTGTTGAACTTGATTCCTGTATGCTAATACCTGATTTTCGAAGTGTGTCTTAATTTTCGTTCTGTTGATAACTTGTTTCTCTGATCTTGTGATGCCCCAGTTAAGACTTTGGTTATATCAAAATATGGAGCCAGTGGAGACTACACTGGTTGTACTGACAAGGCATACACGAAAGCAATTGAAGATGGTGTGGACGTACTTGACTGCCCAGTTCAAATGTCAAAGGATGGGAAACCATTTTGTTTCAGCTCTATTAATCTCATAGATAGCACAGATGTTGTTCAATCTGACTTTAGCAATCTCACAACGAGTGTTCCACAGATAAAGTCTGACACTGGAATATTTACCTTCAGCCTAACGTGGGATCAAATTCAACAATTGAAACGTAAGTTCAAAATAATTCTTATTTGCTTATCTTGGGTGGTGTCGGTTGCTTGTACTTCTATCTTTGTCAAGAAATGGCTTTACTTAATCTATTCATACAAGATACATCATATCTTATTGAACTGGAGATCAAATGGAACACCTATATTTACTTAGTTTATATTTGCATGCAGCTGTTATAGCAAGCCCCTATTCGGCATACACATTGTACCGGAATCCAAGAAACATAAACGTTGGCAAATTCATTACATTGTCTGCCTTTTTGGACTTGACAAAGAGCACAAAGTCACTTTCTGGCATCTTGATCAGCATAGATGTGAGTTCTTCCCATGCTTGTATTCTTTTGGGATGGGTGGTTTTCGAAGATGGTATTGTAGCAGGGACATAATCAAAATCCGTCTGATCTCTTTGGTGTCTATCATAAATCAGAATATGACCTCCATGAATCATCCCATGTTAGACCAGTCTAGGCCAAGACCGTCTTTAGGCTGACATATCAAGGCCTAGACCTGATTATGGTCACAAATATGAGCTAGTCTCGTAAGAACTAATCTCAAGTGCACTTACATAGAGAATCTGTACATTCTCATTCATATACAAGAAAATAGATTATGTTGGTTTGTGCAAATTCTCGAATTTTAGTAGGGATAAGTACAGTACAAAGGGGTCCTAATTACCATTCTCGTACTGACAGTGCATTCTTTTATTTTTTTTCAGCATGCGGCCTATCTTGCGGAAGAACAGGGCTTAAGTGTTACTGATGCAGTCCTAGATGCCCTAAGCAAAGCTGGTTTTGACACTCTGACAGCCCCAAAGGTCCTGATTCAGTCTAGTAATAGTGCTGTTCTACAGAAATTCAAGGAGAAAAATAATTATGAACTTGTATACAAAATTGACGAGAAAATCCGCAGCATTGACGAGCCTACCTTGAAGGACATCAAGAGCTTTGCTGATTCTGTGGTTATTAACAAGGCCTCTGTCTTTCCGGATATCGCTTTATTCTTGACAGGTTCTACGGATGTTGTAAAGAAGCTACAATCATATAAGCTTCACGTTTATGTAGAAACCTTCAGCAATGAGTTCGTATCCCAAGCATGGGACTTCTTCTCGGACGCAACTGTAGAGGTCAATTCCTATGTTACTGGAGCCAATGTTGACGGTGTAATCACAGAGTTCCCTGCAACAGCTGCCAGATACAAAAGTAAGTACATAGTTCTCTATCTATTATCTTTTACTCTTGTTACAAGTTTGAATGATGCAATCTATTCAACCCTCGCCTATATTTTGGTTATGCAATTGTTTTCTGGTTCAGGGTTTTGAAACTACTTTGGCTTATTTCAATACCAACATTTCTTAATCTGTTGGGCAGAATTCGGGGAAAAAGAAAATTCGCCTTTCTAACTTATTTTATACCAATATTAATAGGTTCTCCCAACTTTAATGTAACTTGTTAGCTTACTTTAATCGCACACAGGATATAATACCATCTGCCTAATATTATGCTTATTTGGCCTTTTGACTTTGTGGAATTGCTGATGTATTAATGCGAACTTCTTCTTTCTGGGGGAAAAAAATGCAAAGCACAATGTCCTTTGGCTTCATACCCCGCCTTTTGTTAATATTTGAGGCATTTTTAGGGAGAAATAGAGCTAACGGATGGTGCTTGAACCTAATGCAGTAAACCGATGTTTGGGTCTTGGCAACAACACACCTGCTTACATGAGCCCTGTTCAGCCTGGAAGCCTCGTGGAACTCATTACTACTGATTATTTGCCACCGGCTGAGGCTCCAAACCCGGTCCTGACAGAGGACGATGTGTCGGAGCCGCCTTTGCCTCCTGCAGCACCGGTTAGTCCAACAGCTAGCCCGAATTCAGCTAGCCCGAATTCATCTAGCGCAGCAGGACCAGCACCAAATGCGCAGCCTAAGATTTCCGTTTCCTACTTGCTGTCGAACCTTGCTATGATGCTCCTTGCAGCTCTCATTCTGTTCTGAAACGGCACCGGTCTAGCTTTGATAGTCATTTGCACATGTGTTTGCCATTATCATTGCTTGATTTCAGCATAGTTTGGAGCTTTTTGTGGCTTGATTACACGGCTAATCCATTTTTTTTGGTCCTCCCTTTTGCTGGATGTTGGTGATTTTTCCCCCTGTTGTTGTAGTTATGTTCATTCTTCCAAGTGTAATTTAGGGATATAAACTCCTGAGCCTGTCAGATTTTAGTTAGCATTTTCGCCATCTTTTCGGCTGTTGTACGGTATATTTATAATTATTCTTTGTGTGTATTATATGATGAAAATTGGAGTGTTCAGCTAGAATGGTCTACATCTTAATCATGCTTTTGTTTTCTTATTCTTTCAGCTTAGCTGTCTGATGCCACAATACATCCCCGATCACCTGTTTTTATGAACACACAGATATATATATATATATATATCTATATATATATATATAGTTACCAAATGGCTCATTAGGCACTAACAAGAATATTTATTAAAGGCAAGAATGTTTATTAAAGGCTCTACTGTCAGGCCTTATAGCTTATAGCATATTTTATTTGGATTAATTTCAAAAATTCTCTCTAAATTATGACTATTTTAACACTTTGTCTCTTGAATTTTAAAAAGTGACATTCGTTCCTTCCGAATTTTGTTATGTTAACAAGTTTTCTCATTCTGTTATAATAAGTGATGGAATTGTCACGTGTCACAGAATTAAAAGTGTAATTACGTTTATACCCTCTTAATCAGATAATTCTCTATTTTTATTAAAAAAATTCCTCATCTTCCTCTTCCTTGAACAACGTTGCCGCCAAGCCCACACCAGAGATGTTCGGTTTCAGTCCCGGAAGCAACCTCAGAAGTTCTTTTGCAGCACGGGATGGCAATGAAGGCTGCAAGTCACCTCCGTCAAGCCGTACTCTGGTGCGAACGCCGTCACTTGTATTGCCCAAATCTCTTGTGCTGTCATTGCTGGGGTCGCCGCCCTCGTCGCTGGAGTCGCCGTCGACGCCTGGGTTCACCTCCACACTTTTGTCATCGAAGTTCTTGTTGCAGAGTTGTTTGGAGTGCCTCGTTGTCGCGCCGGCAATTTCGGTCAATTCGTCGGGGTCGCTAAAGGTTGATGAAGGTCCAGAGAGTCTCGCGCCAGGTGGGTTTGCACGGTGGTACTTTGGTACATCATTGCTTACACTAATCAGTCGTTTCCAAGACGGGGAGGTGAGGGAAGAAAAAGAAACAAAATGAAAACGAAGATGATGAATTTTTTCAATAAAAATGGGGAATTGTCTTATTAGGAGGGTATAAGTATAATTGCGCTTTTAATTCTTACTAAATAAGCGTCACGTGATAATTATATAACTTATTGTAACAGAAAGAAAAAACTTGTTAACAGAACAAAGTTCATGGGGAACAGATGCTATTTTTTAAAATTCAGAAGACAAAATGTTAAAATGGTCATAATTCACAAGGAAGTTTTGAAATTAATCCATTTTGTTTAACTATATTTAGATATTGACAACTGTGTTGTCACCATGTAAATAATTTGGTACTCCTAACCAGGGGCGGAGCTAGGTGAGGCTCGCGGAGCAGCTGCCCTGCCTGGGCCCACTAACTCTTTTATGGCCTTGTTCATTTCACCGATTTGAGTTTAAAATTCAAGTTTTGGTATGTAAAAAATTCTCAAAAACAGTCACATCTAATTTTTTTACTATAATAAAAAGTTATCACATAAAGTAACATCACAACTCAACTCTAAGTTTTACTCTAAGTTTTAATTCTTTTAAGTACTCTTATCTCAAACTTAAAATATGTAATAAGTCAAAGATACAAAGAGATAAATAAAGTAAAAAGACTTGTGTTATAGTTTAGTTCAATTTTTTTTTTGTTCTTTTATGTCCCTAAAAAACATTCTAGCTCCGCCACTGCTCCTAACATTTCTGTTGTTCGATATTCACATTTTCATTCACATTTACAAAAGAGATCACGTGACGGTGAACTAATTTATGAGTTATGTGTTCGACTTTGGCTTAAAAACAATTTTTGAACCAGTCTAATATTCTCCTAGTTTCTCTGAAAATAAGTTCTCTGAAAATATTCTCCTAGTTCACAAAACAATATTTTTTTTTTATTAGTTTTATGGGTCTGTTTGGTTCGTTGCTTGATTTTTTTTTTCTTAGCATTATTAGAATTCGTGATTTGATAGTGCTTTGCAGTTATTGTTTCTATGGTGGTGGCTTCTTAAGATTTTAGAATTGCTTCTATTCGCAGTCAAGAGTTTCAGTTTTTATATTATTAGTTGCAATACACGCTACGCGCGTTAGTATCAATATGTTATATTTTTTAAACACATACATTTTAAAAAAAAAAATGTTAACAAAAAAAATATTTAGACAAGTACATATTTAAAATTATATGAATGAGAGCACGTTAAGGGGTAAAGTTTAAAATGAACACAAGATTTAAAATGAACAAAAAAGCAAACACATGTTTCAAAACAGCAAAAATGATTTAAAATGAACGAAAAAACAAAAAGATCAAAATATACGTTTCAAATTAGGCAAAATTTTCCTATCTGAAAACTTATTCACACTTAGTGAGCGAAATTTAAAAAAAAAAAAAAAAAGTACTGCTAAAGGCAATAGTGGAGGAGAAAAAAGGCAATAGGTAGGGAAAAAAAAAGAGAGATGAAAAATATAAAAAATGTTTAAAAATGAAAAAAGAGAAAGAAAAATAGAGAGAATCAAAAAAAAAAAAAAAAAAAAGAAATAAAGTGGAGGCCAACATGTGGGCCTCTATAGAGACTAACACATAACCTCCTTAAAAGCCAACTTTTTTTACTCTTTTAAGTATGTATAGATTTGATCACCGTACATGTAACATAGAAAGTTTAATGCTTGATGCACACGGCAAACAACATGGTGTATTACTTCAGAAAAAAAAAAAAAAAAAAAAAAAAAAAAAAAAAAAAAAAACAAAAAAAAAAAAACAAAGCTCATGTCCCTAACACCAGATCTTTCGATGGATAATGAAACTAATGAAATATATTTTTAAAGCTTTTATTTGTCCCTATTGAATGAAGATCCAATTATCAGGGTATTTTGCATGGACCTTTTTAAATTTTAAGAGGGACGTAACAAGTAGAATAAATGATGGTTTAAGAATATGTGGGTAAAAAAATAGAATAAAGGTTATTTAGTTGTAAGGATTTTTTTTTTTTTTTTTTTGAAATTTCAAGAGAAGTGTAACAAGTAGAATGGTGTGTCAATTAAGTATGTGTGTGTGAAAAGTAGAAAAAAATAATATACACGCCCAAACCTTTTTTTCTTTTTTGAACTTTAAATTAAACTTTTTTAGGAACAAGCTTGCTCAAAACGACTTTGTCAGCTGTTTCAGTTATCGGTTTGGATTCATTAGAAGGCTTAATCTTAGGCCTTTAAGATATTTGGGTTACTTATTCACCTTCAAGAAAAGATATGCAAATTAGCATTATTTTAGAATACTTTTAAAATCTCTTAATTGCCGGAGTAAATCACTAACGTATAGGCCATGATCTTTCTTTTCTCTCTGTTTTTTTTTTTTTTTTTGGATGGAATAAAGTCTTGAATATTAAGGAAATAGTATTACTTTTCGGTAATAAATTATCTATCAAGGTCCAAGAATACATTACTTTTTGACCGTGCAAGGAAAAATATGGCCACTTGACTATGGATTTTTCAGACAATTATTCTCACCAATTCATAATCCGGGACATCATGAATTAAAGGACAAATCTTGTGAATTAAAGGATAAGATTAAATTTCAAAGGCATGATCATTTCTATTTAGGAATTTTATCTAAGTAAATAAAAAAAATCATTACAAACTAATTATAATCCGGGTTGGAGATTTTATTACTTTATGGTAATTCTGAATGAGCAACAATTTGTCCTAATATATTGTCATCTTGCCATGGATTATCAGGCTAGATTTGTGGCTAAACATAGGGATAATATTTTCGGTCTTACACTTGATTAATTTTTTGGAATGGGTAGCAATATTTTGGGAGGAACAGATTCTCTCCCTTGAAGATAGTCAATTAGATCAAACAAGAAAGGAAAGAAGAATATCATGGTTTTATAGCATTCCATTTTTCATCCATGAAAACACACTATATAAGAAGTACTAACAATACCAAGTTAGCAAGTGAATGAACAAGAAACAAAAAAATTTTATAGGTCGTTTTTTAAAATTTTTAAATTTTTTTTTGGGTCTTAGATTTGTCTTAGATTAGATTAGAAACATGGGTTCAAGCTTGGCTCATTGTGTTTGCTTATGGTTCTTGTTAGTGTCCATCACCAATGCCAAATCCCATGTCAGAAACGTTTTTAATGTGATGTCATATGGAGCTGTTGCTGATGGAAAAACTGACAATAGCAAGGTTTATTATTATTTATTATTATTATCATTATTGTTATTATTGTTATTGTCATAAATATTTTACATTAAATTTTCTGCTGTTGTTTTAAATAAATGATTTTCTTACTCTACAAAAAATATATATATATATATATATTTTATCTACTAGGCCATTTTTGATGCATGGACTCATGCTTGTCAATCCGTCGGTGGAGGTATGGTTTTGATCCCGAAAGGAACGTACCTTGTGAACCCCGTCGTGTTGAAAGGCACATGCAAGGGCCAAATGGTCTTTTTCTTACAAGGTGACCTTAAGGCTCCTACTGATCAAAAATCTTGGGATGATATTGACCATTGGATCACCTTTCAATACGTTGATAACTTTGTGATGAGTGGAGGTGGGTCCTTGGATGGTCAAGGAGCTTCTGCTTGGCCCTACAACACATGCAATAAAGATTCACACTGCAAGAAACTTCCTGTTGTAAGCTATCAATTTCATGCCTTGCATATATATTGCTTGTAAATAAGTAGAGATGGAAACTTTTTTAGTGTTCTAAGTCTAGTAGTAATAATTAATTCTCAAATGACAACAAAGAAAAGTCTAATATTCAGTTAAAGATTTATAGGATAATATATGTTTCTATATCGAAAAAAAAAAGATGAAAAATTAAATTAATATATATAGCTTAGGTTTTAATGAAATAATGTTACTATAAAAGAAAGTAAAGTCTAACGATATATTAGTAATATAAAAGTCATGATGACCTATCAAATGATATAATACTTTTTCTATATTAGGAAGAAAATAAATTACAAAAATGGTGTCACTAGCTAATTTTTAGATTTTAATTATTACTTACAGATTCAGTATCTTCATTTTAAAAGCATGGAATAATGTTATTCATTATCGTTGATAATTGTTATGATATATGATATGCTGCATTATATATTAACATTTTCTTCCTTTGTTTTTTTTTTTACCTTATTTCATTAGTCTCTAAGGTTAGATTTTGTGAACAACGCATGGATAAGTTACATAAAACTGATCAACAGCAAGAACTTCCACATGAACATTTTTGCCTGCAATAACATAAAATTGGAACACATGCACATAATGGCGCCAGGGGACAGCCCCAACACCGACGGAATCCACATTGCCCTATCAACCGGCATCAAGGTCTGGGACTCCATCATCTCCACCGGTGACGATTGCTTATCGTTCGGTCCAGGGATGAAGGATGTCGACATTTGGAAAGTTCAATGTGGCCCCGGCCACGGAATCAGCATCGGAAGCCTAGGGTCGAGCCCTAATGAAAAAGATGTTCAAGGGTTTATTGTAAGGAACTCTAGGTTTATTGGTACCCAAAATGGAGTGAGGATCAAAACATGGGCTCTCCCTCATGCTAGCAATGTTTATAACATCACATTTCGTAGAATTATAATGCAAAATGTTGCCAACCCCATTGTCATTGATCAAGAATATTGCCCGTCCGGTAAATGCAATCCCCAGGTAAATCTTCTTATTCTTTTATCGATATATTAAAGTTCTGTTAGGTTCTTAGTAGCAGTCGGCGACCCTTTCTTCTTTTAGCTTTTCGTCTCCTTGATAGCTGGAAGTTCTCCAAAAGTATGAAAAGCTGGAGGACTTTGTACCATCCATTCCAGTGTGGTTGAATTCTGTTCAAGAGCCCAAGGACTTGGAGCACACCTTTTGTTATTTCCACTGCTTAAAGTGATTGTAATTAGTGATTACAATACAATGTCACATCTGATAACAAATGTACAACATTTTATTATTAATTGTTACGTGTCACTAACACTATGCACATGTCATAGCGTGCTAACACATTTTCTCTCTCTCTCTCTCTCTTTTTTCTTTTTTTTCTTTTTTTTTTTTTTTTTTTGCGCCACTAGGGTTCGTCTCAAATTCAGATTCGCGATGTCAAGTTCATGAACATTTGGGGCACTTCGAGCTCGAAAGTTGCGGTTAATCTCGATTGCAGCAAGGGAAAACCTTGCCAGCAGATTGTGCTGAAAGACATCTATCTGGCATATAAAGGCAAAGACGGACCTGCAATTTCTCAGTGTTCCAATGTCAACGGTGTTTCTTATGGCAAGCTACAACCTCCTTCTTGCATACAGAAATCCCAGTCTAATTGAGGCAGCTGATCATGATAAAATAACCAAAATGTCTATAAATCTTAGGCAGTACTAGTATTTGTTCAAAGTGATAATTGTTAAGATCACTATTTGGTAGAATAACTCATTGAAGATCAACCAAAGAATGATGAATTAGTGCCCCCTATTCCCCATTTGTAACGATTCATTAGTACAAAAGCCATGATAATTTTCATGGTTGAAGGGTGACATTTAGACTAAAAGTTCTCTCTCTCACGCGCGTGCGCGCGCGCGCATATATATATATATATATATATATGCCATTACAATATTTCTGATATAGGATCGAGATAAAACCAAGAAGGGATAGAAACAAAAGGAGAAGAACTCGAGAGATAAAACTATAAACTCAATATCATTAATCAATCATCAAAGCCTGAATGAAATTATAATTATCACTACTATATTTATAGACATCTAAAAGATAAATTTAACTAATTCAAAATAATCCTACGAAATAAACAAAATCCTAAAGAATAAATATGTAATTTAAATTGAAAAATCCTAATCTAATTCGCCTTCAGTTTCCTTCTGCCATATATTTGACATGATGCTTGGAAATTAAAGGCTGAGTAACTTTTTGTTTAACTGTCGTTAATTATTAGAGAGATTCTCTGGTACACTTAGTGTACTGGCAAAAACTTGTTGTGAAAAATCGTAACGCAAGTATACGCTATCGCAATTAAGTAATATAATAGTGAATAAGAATATCGTCCCACGAGGATTGTTGTTTATTAATTACCGAAATTATATTAACCCTAATTTTATTTGAATACTTGAAAAGAGAGTTTATAAAATTAAGTAAAGTAAAACTAAAACAATTAAATAAATTAAACAACGCTAAGCAACGGATGAAAATCCAATAGATTAAGATTCTAGGGTTTCCGATTTCACCAAATTAATCATGTTCAAATTCTCATAATTCAAGCAAATTAACATTCAATCATATACTGACAGTAATTTCTCTAAAGCAATTATTATTCTTTCTCAAGCAACAATAATATTAATCCAACAAGCAAAATCTACATCTCTGTCAGACTTCTAAACCTGTTGAAAATCATTAAGTGCAAGAAATTCAAAAGAACTGCACAAGCATCATAGATATCTCTATCCTATGAACAACTCATGGTATTTCAATTAAGAGCTTATTCAATTATCACCTCTCAGTCTCAAATCAAATACAAAATCATGTAATAGTTGGCCAAACAATCACAAGCATTAAGAATAAATTGAAATACTCAGCATATATGGATTAAACATCAATTACTTAAAAAGAAGATTGAGAATTCGAACATTCATAATTTGGCTACATCGTAGCCTTAGAAAAAGGAATTAGTTCATCTCTAAACAAAATAAATTCCTAAACAAAGTCTTAATCATTGGAAAGGAAAGAAAAGAACTAGTTTGGAGTTGAATTGAAGCGTCGCCGTCTCCGGATTCGAGCCGTTCTTCTTCTTCGTCCCAATTCTCCTTTTCTTCTCTTGAAT